GATTGATCAGACTAGCCAACTAAGGGGCCATTCACTTCTATAGAAAAATAGGTGTACTGCGCGAAAGCTTCTCTTTATGAAAACCCCTCTGAGTCGTCTATAGCCGCCAAATCCCTTTTGATTCTGTTGTCAGAGGTGCCTTTCAATTTCATTGACCTTGGTACTGCATTTCATAGATACCTTCGCTATTACAGTAACGCAATTCTCCACTGAACCCATTGACCTAGGTACCGAGTCTGTTATGCGTACGTCTTTTCGGACTCTTTATTTGTTTGTGGACAACAAAAATGCAAACATGAGAAAAGGGGATCATTCCATTTTGAACACACCCATCTATCTCATCTGACCTCTCCGAATTCCCGAGTAACGAACCATGGGCTATAGATGGTTGGGACATATCATCATCCGGAGGGGGTGGTCTTAATACCGATGTCTTTCTTTAACCTTTGGGAGGTCGAACCACTGAACCTATTTCTTTGACCTTGGGACCGATAGATAAGAAGGCAAGGCAGAAGAACCAATTGAATCGCGGAGAACAGGTAGCTCCGGCATGTGAACTTGTCGAACCATTCAACTATACTATATATCGATTGGCCACATCAACGCATTTCACCTCGGAACTTGTACTTGGAATAGAGCCAGCCTTGAGATCCGCCACATCTTCCTTCAAGTCAGAGAGTTGAGATAGAACAGCTTCGCCTTTGACCGGTTTGTTGCTTTCCTTTATACACAAGCCCCTATTATTAAGGTATGGAGGTTTTTTCTGGAATGACCAAAGAACAAGAGAAGTTCAATGAGGTGCAAACGCAAGAATTAAAGCAACGAGGACAAGTGCTAGGATAGGATCCCGAAGGATGGCATGCCTATTCAGCAACGTGCAGAAAGGATGGCTTCACGCAAGAATCTTGATGAACCAGGTATGTCTTCTACTAACAGATATGCTATTTGCAATTCCATTGATTCTGCTAGTCTAGTAAAATCTGCTGTAGATAGTGGTCTAGTGTTGGGCAGTACACATGAGGAAATTGACAGGTCTATAAATTCTATTAAAGCAAGAGAACTTGCTCAAGCATTGCTTTATGAAGCTGCTCAGAAAAAGAAGTTAGCTGCTCATGAGAAGGAGCAGTCTTCCAGTGTCGAGTTAAGCTCTGATTCAGAGAATGAGGATATTTAGATTGTTGAAGAGTTAGATAATCACAGTACTTGTATACCAGTTGGTGACAAGAACACTACGAGCAGAGCTAAGAGGAGGCATAACAAAAAACAGATACCGCCATGAAGACACTAATCTTGAATGTGAGGGGCCTGGCCAGGTAGAAGGGGGCAACCTTCTGAAGTGATAGAGTGGGTGGACATAGTTTGTGTGCAAGAAACTAAGAGAGAACAGTTCTTAGATAAAGAGTTAATGGCAATTGGTGGCAGAAAGCTTTTCAAGTGGTTTTGCAAGCCAGCCAGTGGCAGTAAAGGTGGAATGCTTATTGGAGTCAATCTGGATGTCATGGATGCAGACCTCATTGGGGAGGGTCAATTTCTCCATGGTGTTTGAGTATAGAGGCTTTGTGATAATTGTGCTTGGGTGGATGTTTATGGTCCAACCAAATTTAAGAGCTATGTTTTTGTCAGAGCTCACTAACTTTGTGCAGAGTGTTGATCTACCTTTGCGGGACATGATCAGATTTGCTCATGAAACAATGGCAGAATACATATTAATAGGATGGAAGCTTTTAATGCTTTCATATCTGAAACTGAACTACAGGAACTGAGAAGGGTTGGTGGCCTGGACTAACAAACAAGACAGGCCAGTGAGAGAAGTTTTGGATAGAGTTCTGGTTTCTTCAACTTATGAGGATTTATTTCCTAAGTTTTACTATCCCTCTTGCAAGCTGGGTCAGATCATTGTCCTTGACTTCTAGAAAATGGGGAAGATAGGGGCTGCCACTAAGTTTTGTTTTGAACCATCCGCAAGAAGGGTTTAGAGATATGCTGTTACAGAAATGGCCTACAAGAACTGTTGCAAATGTTCCATTCCAGACTATTGGCAACAAGTGTCTCAGGGCTTCAGGAAGTTCTTGAGAGGGTGGAAGGCAAATGATGCTACTGACAATAGAAGAAGTAAATCCAATCCCTGCTTTAGCCTTGCTGCTTATTCACTGGCAATCCAACCATACCATTCTTGTCTATCAGGATCAGTCTTTCCCTCAAGTCACCTTAACATGCTTCTTTCTTTCCTTCACTATGCAGATACAAAACTAGGTTGCGGACGCATAAAGCCACTGATACTATTGGTCAGAAGTATGATTTGACAAAAACTACTACTTTAGCAGCTATGCGAAATGGAAGTTTCCTTCTTCTTGCTTGTTTGGCCGTCCGAAAGCAGATACAGATATCGGGGAGAAAGCAGCTCTCTGAGCGATGGATACCGATCGATCTCGGTTATTTTCATTGATCCTGGCCTATCTCCATAGCGCTCACCCAGAGGGAATTCACTCAGCTCTGGGCCGCATCCATCTGGTTGGCATGAGAAAGAAGGCAATTCCTTCCTTGGGTCAGATCTCCGTTCCGGGATGGAAGAAAGAAATGATGGTTTGGATGAGCAATTGGGAAACACACACGGGGTCATGGATGGCTACCTAATGTGAGATGCATGCATTTCGGATAGAATGTCACACTGGCTCTGGAGTGCCCGGGGCGATAGATATATGGATATATAGAAGGAAGGGAACATCGTCTGCGAGCTCTCTCTCCTAATCCACTTTCTTATTGCAAAGGCTCCAACAGAGCAAAGTTGTACAAAAAGAAGTATGCATATGGTCGGTCCCCTTCGAAAGGCAATGGAAAGCAAGGGTCCCGCTAGCATTGAGGAAGGAAGCGGTGAGACCAGTTCAGCCATAACCTTGAACGAATTTATATAAGCCAGGATCTTGTACCGGGTACGGAGACTCTCTAGTGATGCTCCCCTACCCCCCTCTGCCTAGGGTAATAAGCTGGAGTGATAAGCTTAAGCTAATAGCACATAGAGAGCTAATACCATATCCCGCCCGGCTCCGCCTTTAGCTGACCCAGCCCGGACTTCCCCTTCAAGCGTTCAAGAATAAGCATGGGAGTCGAATAGAGATGGCACTTGGAAACTACCGTTGGTATTTCAGGTTTCACATTGTACAGAATGAAATCATCGATAGGGCTCGCCCCGAAGAGAGGATGCCGCGCTTAATAGAAAATTGTTTAGTTTAGGCATTTAGCTTAGCTTAAAATAGATATGTAACATGATGTACTTACACGTGCAACCACTCCGTCTTCTAGACTGGGGTCATAATTGAACCCACAACAAACCTCAGATGATGTGACTTCTCCACCCTCTAGGCAATTAAAAACTGGTCCCATTAGCTCGAATTTACTAATGTTAGAAAGGAAGACGAAGGTGCCAAAACAAAGCATTTGTTTCAAGCGCTGTCGTGTCCTTGAGCTTCAAAGTCTCCAAAATCTTGATCGAGAAGAGTAAGCATTGCCTGGTGAGGAAGAGCGGAAGCATAGGTTTTTGGATCCTAGCGAAGGAGTTTCAAGCACGGATTACGCTTCTAAAGAGCACTATTTGGCTTGGCCCCTTCCTGCCAAAGATTTGAGATAACTAAAGCGACTCACAGTCAAAACTGGTGGAGCCAACGCCAAAGAGGAAATGTGTAGATAGTAGGTGAGCGCCTAGCCCCTTAGTCTTTCGGATCGGAAGATTCATTGGTTTCATCCAAAGGCTTCTGTCTCGTCTTCCTCAAATTGTTGATCGAGGATCAAAGACATTGCTAAAGCAGACGCCTACTGAACAGGAGTTCTTGTACCTGCTAGAACGGCATCTGCTCGAACTTTTGTTTCTTAGAAAAAAAAATATGAACTCACAATGTGCAACAGAAATGTACCCACCGGTTGAGAAACCACCATAGTTGGATGATTGCTCGCGCTAGTAAGACAGCTTTGACTCTTCTTGATCGTGATCTGGTGATCGGTCACACCCTCTTTAGAGGTTCTAGGCCCTGCCTATTGAGTCATCTACCACAGAAACAGAGTCTCGTGATGATCCTGGTACAAAAGGTTCGTCTATAGGTACAAAGGGAGTAGTACTAGGCATGCAGCTTTAATTTTCCAGGGGAGTTGTTTTTGGATTTACCACGGCAGTTGCGTTGGATTTCATCAGGGATTTTACCAGGGATGACCAGGGAGGCAAATTACCAGGCATAATTTACAAATATCTTGTTCTATACACAATTACCATTGTTGTACGCAAGTTACCAGGCCTGTATATAGCAAAATTACCATAACTCATGTATATTAGTCATCATGTACATGAAAGCGCAGCTACCATTTTTGTTTTGTTGTACTGTGATTGATACTTCAAGATAAAAGAAGTTCACCAATAGTACATAGTTTTTTTTTATCAAATTTCATTTGTACCTATAAGGTTTTTGTATCATAGTCCCCCATGCATGTCCCTGCATTGCTATGTACTCCCTCCGTTCCTAAATACAAGTCTTTAGAGGTTTGAATATGGACTACATACGGATAAATATAGACATATTTTACAGTGTAGATTCACTCATTTTGCTTCGTATGTAGTCATATTAGAATCTCTAAAATGACTTGTATTTAGGAACGGAGGGAGTAGAAAATACATTTACTAGCAAAAATTACCAATACTGTATGTTCTCTGAAGTTATTGGCAATGTTCTATCAAAATTACCACAATGGAGACAAATCTGGTAACAGTAAATAAAACCACCAAATGCAGTATGCCCAAGTTGCTTCGCTAACTAATGTGGGACAAGACTTGTATCTTCAGCTGACAATTCCCCGAGGAACAAAAGAAAAACCTGTCTACATAAGCATGTCTGTAGATCTTCGTTAGACAATCAGTTAGACAGGCAAAAAAGGGCGGCAGGGCAAAATATTTATTCAAACTGCTGTGCATAACAAAAGCCATCCTTCAGCTCATTCAGGAAGGAACCAAGAGATTATCACAATGTGATTCGCCCACACACGCGCCAGTATGCTCCAGGGTGGAAAAGGGATCTTTCAAACACCCATATGTCTTTCACCAGTACCTACACAATGATTTGCAGATGCCAAACATACATCAGGAGATTGTTTTGCCATGCAAGCCCAACTGTTCGACTGTCGTAGAGGTATTACTTAGTACTCCCAATAAAGGTATATTACAGATATCGGTAAAGCAGTGGGATGTAGGAAAAGGTAATGCCCCCCAATGTTCAAATACCTGGCTGTAAGCAGCTATTTAATATAAAGACATCGATTTACAGGTTATTATATCAAACTAGATACTTCAGGAAGCACACTTGCCTAATAAGGTCGCATAGCAATCACAATTGTGACGGACAACAAAATCATGGACTAGTTATTGACTGGTACTTGGCCAAATACAGTAATTTTCCAAATCATGAACTATTACTAGCTACTCCCTCCGTTCCATAATTCTTGTCGTGGTTTTAGTTCAAATTATGGAACGGAGGGAGTAGTGCATGGCTAAATACGGTAGTTTCCATTCAGCATCAATCTGTATTCTGGCTTCCAGCATGCTAACGATATGGAATGTTGATCCTGCTTTGACTCATGTGTACTTAATGTCAGCAAGCGGTCGGTGGACAACTAGTGGCCAGAAGATAAAGGTAATGATAGATGTACCACTAAAGCAATGTAAAGAGCATGTGCAGACATATTGTGGATAAAACTGGCAAATTGCACGAGGAACTATTAACGTTTCAAAAATAAAGTGCAAGCCATTTGAGGGCAAAGCCATATGCTTATGCTTTTAATATCACATATTTTACACCAAATTTCGAAATAATGTGACATTTAATTTACCTCCTTTGACTTGTCCCCTGACACAACCTCTCCTTTTGAATTATAGGCTTCAAACTTCTACAGGAAATATAATTGAAATGGTCAAGGGTGCTGCATACTAGTTCAACATGAAAGAAAATACTTGGTAACAATATGGTAGCTAGACTAGAATACAAGGTCTTAGTATCAACTACAACAGTCTGAACAAGTGAACATCATAGCAAGTAATGGAGTTTAGAGAAAGAAGACATAAATATCAAAACATACACGTCTGACATGTGTGTTCTCAAAAGAAGAGGTGAATATGTTCATTGTGAAGACATAGACTAGAACTTAAATACATGATGGACATACAAGATTGACCTAACCTTTGGAAAAAATAATAGGTATGGATAGAAAGCCAAAAAGATGAATTTGTTCAACATCCAGTCAGCAATTTAAAAGTAAGGAGGGAACAAAATATAGTTGAGTTGTACTGCATCACATAAAAAACTTGAACTTTACAGAATGAAACCTGCTTAGTGACGAACTCAAGCGTAAGCTGTATGAAAGCTTTGTCAAGGTCATTCTTATCAAGACCAATCTGCAAAATAAAAAGAGTTGACCAGTTACCAACTGGCTTGGTTCAATCGTGACAATACATCATACAGATGTAAATGTGTGAAAAAGATGACTTTTAGAGCTAACAGGATAGAAAAACAACAGATAGCTTACCATACGAGCCCTCAAAGTTTTTATGCTTACAGCAGGCTCCACCAATTCCAAGTGTACAGATTTCCACTTGGATTCTCTTCTCTTTATTTCATTTTTAACAATCTTCAGGAAAAGGAAGAGAGTAAAGAATGAACACCAAAGCCCCGCACAAGACATTATCTGACATCAATTCAGTAGGTGAAAGCTTACAGAATGCATCCTGTCCGTCAGAGCTTTCCGGAGAGATGATGTGTCTCCTTGTGCCATAAGCTTGTTAACCTGGATCCAAGAAAAGGGAACAATGTAGACAGGGTTATTCCATGAACTAATTCATGTCATGCAAATCCCGTCATGCCTAGAAATATCAGTAAGCACTTCAATTTGCATTAGGGCTTTTAAATAATACTCCCTCCATCCCTTTATGTAAGGTACTAAGACGTATTATTTTTGGCGAGCTGACCAAAGCATGGAAATATAGAGAATTCAGGACGAAATTGCCATTGGCTAATTCGGTGGTTAGCAGCAGGTAAATCAATTAGGTGGACCGGATCCAGCAATTTGATCGTGTGTGCAGAATTCCTGCTCGCCTTGCATGCCCATGCACACGGTAAAGATTAGACGCGCAGATTTTCTTCCTAACTAACGATTGGAAGGTTGGCTCGCATGATCTTCTTTCCCAAATAACGGCTAGAGATATGTTTTCTAACTGATTCTTACATGAGATTGGCTTGTACGTGATTTTTATTCTAGGTGAGGTTGGCCTGTATGGTGTGGTAGAAAGGTAAAAGCTGAATTCTGGGGAATTAGAAGAATTATACCTTACATTATTAAATTTTAGCAAAAAATAAATACACCTTATATAAAGGAACAGAGGGAGTATAGAAGGCTGGACACCATATTCTTTCAAAACCCAGAAGAAATAATCGTACATAACTGATTAAAGAAGAAATCTTAGGTGGAAATAGAAGGAAGAAATATTTTTATCTCAGTAAATCACGTCACTGGAAGGTAGTCCATGACAAACTAAGAATTAAACTGGGTGGACATGCAATCGATGTCCAACATCGTCTGAGATGGTTTGGGCATATTCAGCGCAGGCCTCCAGAAGCTCCAGTGCATAGCGGACGGCTAAAGCGTGCGGAGAATGTCAAGAGAGGGCGGGGTAGACTGAATTTGACATGGGAGAGTCCGTTAAGAGAGAACTATGAGATGTTAAGTTTGTTGAGGAAATAAAGGAAAGAACTATGAGATGGTCATGAGGTCGTATAGCATGAGGACATTGGGCCTACATGTCGCTGCTGAATATTTGGAAGGAGGACTGTAGATTCGTGGATGCAGGATGTGAGGAAAGGAGGGGTGTGACACCACCAGGCACTCACCACTAACTCCCATTTAAAGTAAAGATAAATAGTACAGTGTATTTGAAGTGTTTGGCAACTAGCATTAGGAACAAAGACCCATAACCATAAAGCCTACAGATCAGTAATTTCGACAGTTGGTTCCCAAGCACAATTGTTCATACCAAATCTAGCATATATTGATATGGATCTATGTAGGTGAAATGGGATTGCAGACAGATGTTTATACAGAGCATTCAAATGCAACAATACTTGGTAGTCCCCTTAGAAATGATTTTCTCTGGTAAGGATTCTGCAGTGCGATTTTACTTATTAGATCACCAATATTTTGCTAGTAACAACTCTCATGATCTCATCTTCTCCTTATTAGATCACCAATCATGAAAACCTTAAACCCATGGCAATGCAACCTAACTCCTTAAAATTTGTACAACTTAATTCCATGTAATGAATGTGTCATACCTCCTTGTATATATTAAACGCTTGATCGTAGAATTGTTTTTTGGTATATCCGGTTTTCTTCCTCAACCTTGACACAGCATATGCATTCTTCATCTGTCAAGTAAAAAACCCAACTACTCAACACATGATTCACGACAGACGGTAGCACAAAAGAAAAACTGCATTAATTAAGTCAAATATCTTAAGATCAACACAGGGAGCAAGCAAACACTAGAAAGAGATTATTGGTGAGGATCAAAAGTAGGAAACATATCCATCAGTAAAAGGCCAAACCGGTTTCCTCCTATGTAGTACTCCCTCCATTCCACAATGTAGTGCTTCCTCTATCCCCGTGCTTCAACTTTGACCGTAAATTTAACTACCAAGACCGATTGCGGCGGGAGCAAAAATTTATCAGTGAATTCGTATTCGAAAGAAGTTTTCAATTATATAATTTTTTCTCCCGCCGCAGTTGGTCTCGTTGGTTAAATTTATGGTCAAAGTTGGACCTCGGAAAGCGCGGGCGCACTATATTTTGGAATGGAGGGAGTATTACACATCATTATTGTAACATGGAAATTTTAAAATAGAAAAGAACACAGTAGCATGCACCTGTATGCAAGAGTATATCATGAGTTATGGTAACTATCTCATGTCTTTCTATTCTCATGTAAGAATTATTCTGACTGGTAATTAAACATGCAGTAGTGAACTTGGTTGTCTCAATGTTGGCGCATTGGTGTCAATGCAGTCAAAAACCAATGCGCTCCCAACAATGAGAAGTAACATCTTAGATTTCTAAACATGTAGGGTAACAGTACCGAAATTAGTCTCAAGATAACAAATAGTGAAATATTGTGCTCCCTCCGTCCCGAAATACTTGTCATCAAAATGAATAAAAGGGGATGTATCTAGACGTATTTTAGTTTTAGATACATCCCTTTTTATCCATTTTGATGACAAGTATTTTCGGACGGAGGGAGTAACAAGTTAAAAATGGAACTCGATTTCTCATTACAGCAGTTTCCCAAGACAAAAAAGTTAGTACCTCCAGAATAACATCCTCCTTTGTTCTAGTCCAGCCACTTCGTGTAAACAATCTAAGTCAAAGAAAAAATAGTTATGATGATGAAGATTTTATCATGCATTGGGCAGTTTGTTATGGGGCAGTCAATTAAACTGAGTTTGAACCTTAGGCATCAATTTTAAATGGTCAGTCCTGGACAACTAATAGATGGATCGGTTTTGCGAAGAAAAACCTCCTCACAGCAAGCAGAGAGGTCATTGACTACCATATACATAATGATCTATGAGAAATGAATTACAGAGAGTCAATATCTGCACTGGAATTTAACCTTTTCCAAAACGGGATAGGTTCCCGGACACAGTATGGCTCATAAACAAAACCAGGGCTCATCGTGAAAACTTTCAAACCAACCTGCACATACATATACAGAGGCACTACAGTTAACAGAATACTTGTCCAACTTTAAAAGAATCAAAATGGAAAATCAATGTGCTTGCACCTTTTTAGCACGGACAGAAACGCCTTTGGACACTGACGGTGGCGTCACCGGTGCTCCTGATGGCGTTGGCCCTGCCGGTGCCGGTGCCACAGCTCCTGAAGACATTTGTCTTGCATGATTTAGGTGAACTACAAGCTCCAGAACCTGCAGAAATGCAACCAACGCGAATTTGTAACCCAAATCAAGTATCAGACCTTGTAGGAAAAGACGTTATGGATTCACCAAAAAAATGAACTTCAGTACACAAACCTGCACAGCGTGGAGAGGCGACGGACCTCCAAACTTGCCAGCAATCAAGCCGCCGCCATTGTATGTTAAGCTTGAAAACCCTAAAGATTAAACGCACACAAAAAAAATCACTGAAATGAAGCCCGTGGAGGAGCTGGAGGATGGGGGAAACAAACAGCAGGCAGCCATATCAGTCGCTCACCTCTTGCAGATGTATTCGCGTGGATCAGAGCTAAAGAACGGGAAACGGCGGCATGGTGGTCTCTGCAACGGGAGCGAGAAGGAAGGGGGTAAGAATTATCGGATTCACATTGCGGAGAGCGAGATCTAGACCGGACGGGGAATGGAGGGGGAGGACGCGAGGGGTTACGTCAGCGGCGCTGCAGGCAGGTGGAGAGGCCGGTGGAGGCGGCGGACCAGCGACTGGCCGAGGCGGGCCAGAGACATCGGCGAAGTTTCTTCTCCGCGACGGCGCCGGCGCCGGCGACGGGGGTGGGAAGGTGCGAGGAGCGGGACGGAACTGGGCGGCGAGGGTTTAGGAAGGGGCGAGAGAATGAACTGACAGAACGGCGGAACCACTTGATATGATCAACTGATTTCGTCCCTCCATTGCCAAATCAACGGCTGGAATGCAAGTAGTAATTGTTTCCCTTGGTATACACTCGCATCTTCTTCTTTCCTGCAGGGGATTTTTCTTTATTGCTTAAATAAAAACCTCTTTAGTTCACCGGATTTAAAGTACTCTCGCATGAATTTCGAATCACCGGATTCCTTCACGGGTTTTTATTTTGTGGAAAAACTTTCGATCTACTAGTATTAATCAAGTGACAATGTAGTACAAAGAACACCATAATAATAAAGATTACATTCAGGTCCGTAGGCCACCCAGCGATGGCTAAAGCCGAGTGAAAGGATCGATATAGTTGACTAGAGGGAGGGTGAATAGGGGCAACTAACAATTTTTAGCCTTTTCTTTATCAATTTAAAGTTTGCATCAAACTAGGTTGTCTAGATATGCAACTAGGTGAGCAACATATATGATGCAACAACAACAAGCACACAAGCAAGCAAAAGATGCAACGCAATATAAGCTTGCACAAGTAAAGGTACGAAATAACCAAGAGTGGAGTCAGTGAAGACGAGGATGTGTTAGCGAAGTTCCTTCCCTTTGAGGGAAAGTACGTCTCTGTTTGAGCGGTGTGGAGGCACAATGCTCCCCAAGAAGCCACTAGGGCCACCGTATTCTCTTCACGCCCTCACACAATGCGAGATGCCGTGATTCCACTATTGGTGCCCTTGGAGGCGGCGACCGAATCTTTACAAACAAGGTTAGGGCAATCTTCACAACTTAATTGGAGGCTCCCAGCGACACCACGAAGCTTCACCACAATGGACTATGGCTCCGTGGTGACCTCAACCGTCTAGGGTGCTCAAACACCCAAGAGTAACAAGATCCGCTAGGGATTAGTGGGGGAATCAAAATTCTCTTGGTGGAAGTGTAGATCGGGGCCTTCTCAACCAATCCCGAGCAAATCAACAAGTTTGATTGTTTAGGGAGAGAGATCGGGCGAAAATGGAGCTTGGAGCAATAATTGAGCTTTGGGGGAAGAGGTGAGTCAACTTTGGAGAAGAAGACCCCCTTTTAAAGGGGGGGGGGGACAATCCAACCGTTGCCCCCCAAAATAGCCCCGCAGAGGGCGGTACTACCACAGGGGGCAGCGGTAGTACCGCTGGGGCCAGCGGTACTACCGCTCTCCCTTGCAGTACTGTCGTGCAGTCTGGGAGGGCTAGCGTATGAGTAGGAGACAGACCCAGTGTGGTACTGTCGCGGTGGTAGGGCGGTACTACCGCTCTCGAGCGGTACTACCGCTTCTACTACCGCTTCATAGTGCTGCACAATCCGACACGATAGGCGACCCCCTCGAGTCGACGTGGTAGGAGCCCGGTACCGCAGCGGTACTACAGCTGAGGACCCACAGGCGGTACTACCGCTGGGACCAAATCATACTCATAAAAAAGGGAATGAAATCTCCATTGAAGCGGGAAGGCTCAGAGGGTGTGAAAAGGATGTGTACGTGTTGATTCCACCTTAGCCTTACCAAAGTGGACCCCCTCTTAATAGTACGGCTTTCCTACGACTCAAATCCACGAAAAAGAAACATAGACAAACGCTGTCTTCAATAGTCTTTGAGGGGGACAAAAATAACCCGTCTTGTGCTTAGTGATGAAACGTCTGAAATACTCAAGGCACACGATTAGTCCGCAAAAGCATTGTCATCAATCATCAAAACACCTTAGGGATAAATATGCCCTTACAATCTCCCCCTTTTTGGTGGATTGATGGCAATACGAGATTTGCACAAAGGGGAAAATATAGGACATAAGCAAACCCCACATCTCTAAAATATAGACGGGCTCCCCCTAGATGTGTGTGAAGGAAATATGCCCTAGAGGCAATAATAAAGTTATTATTTATTTCCTTATATCATGATAAATGTTTATTATGCATGCTAGAATTGTATTAACCGGAAACATAATACATGTGTGAATACATAGACAAACAGAGTGTCACTAGTATGCCTCTACTTGACTAGCTCGTTGATCAAAGATGGTTAAGTTTCCTAGCCATTGACATGGGTTGTCATTTGATTAATGGGGTCACATCATTAGGAGAATGATGTGATTGACATGACCCATTCCGTTAGCTTAGCACACGATCGTTTAGTATGTTGCTATTGCTTTCTTCATGACTTATACATGTTCCTATGACTATGAGATTATGCAACTCCCGTTTACCGAAGGAATACTTTGTATGCTACCAAACGTCACAACGTAACTGGGTGATTATAAAGGTGCTCTACAGGTGTCTCCGAAGGTACTTGTTGGGTTGGCGTATTTCAAGATTAGGATTTGTCACTCCGATTGTCGAAGAGGTATCTCTGGGCCCTCTCCGTAATACACGTCACTTAAGCCTTGCAAGCATTGCAACTAATGAGTTAGTTGTAGAATGATGTATTACGGAACGAGTAAAGAGACTTGTTGGTAACGAGATTGAACTAGATATTGAGATACCGACGATCGAATCTCGGGCAAGTAACATACCGATGACAAAGGGAACAACGTATGTTGTTATGCGGTCTGACCGATAAAGATCTTCGTAGAATATGTAGGAGCCAATATGAGCATCCAGGTTCCGCTATTGGTTATTGACCGGAGACGTGTCTCGGTCATGTCTACATAGTTCTCAAACCCATAGGGTCCGCACGCTTAACGTTACGATGACAATTATATTATGAGTTTATATGTTTTGATGTACCAAAGGTTGTTCGGAGTCCCGGATGTGATCACGGACATGACGAGGAGTCTCGAAATGGTCGAGACATGAAGATTGATATATCGGAAGCCTATGTTTGGCTATCGGAAGTGTTCCAGGTAAAATCGGGATT